CCTTTAAATAATGTTTTTATTATCATCTATCATTTATATAATTTATGCCAAAAATTCTTAAAAATCATTCTTTCTTTGTTCTTAAAAAATTACTACTAATTTTCCTTTATTCATTTGTTGTCAGGAAATAGTGGAAACTCTGTTTACCCCAGACTGTTGGCAGTCAGCTGGGTTTGTTTGGTTTACTGTCTAAACTAAGCATTGTTTGCTTTAAAGTCATAAACTCTTTAAAAAAAGGGGAATAATTTACTTTGACTCTGTTGAAACTATGATTATTTATTCATCAGATAAACTCGCTTTTAGAAAAAAAAAAGTTTTCCTTTTATCTAATCTCCAGTAAGCCAAATTAAAAAATGTTTGTACAGTTTTCTGACATTTGCTGACCACCTGATTGATGGAGGAATTTTGTCGGTTTAATCGATGATTAAAACATYCCTGGAGTCAGTGGAAGGGCAGGGACAAGAATCGCTGAGTAGTCTTATCTGCTTGACGACAAACCCCATCATAGGCTGGATGCCTGATTGTACAGAATAAAGTTTTTTTTTTCCCCTCTCTCTCTCTCTGTTGCTATCTCTTCCCCGAGGCTGCTTAGTAGTGTTTCATCATTTAGTCCCACTCTGCCTCTGGCTATGTCCTGATCAGACAAGGTCCTTTTTATTACAGTAGTGGACTAAGGAAAAACAGTAGTTGTAATTAAAGTGCACAGCGGGGGTATGTCATGCATAAAAACTATGATTTAGGCAACTTTGGAGACAGGAAGACGAGCTTATAATGCACAAATAAAAAAGACCACTTCATCATTCGAAGACGTCTGAGAATGCAYGTGTACTTCCTCCTCCATCGTCAGCTCCGCCTCTTTTCTGACTAACCCTGCTGGGCACCTGCCTGCACACATGGCTGACTGCTGGGACCGGCGTGCGTGCACCGAAATGTCAAAGCCATTGAAGTCAGCATCCCATCACTTAACTCCCACAGCGTCCCGGGAGGATTGCTRATAAGTGAGCGCGCTCAGACCGCCTTCGTTTTACGACCAGAAGATTGTTTTTCATGTCAACAATTTTCCTTTAATCAAACATGAAATCTGTAGCTTCTGAAACTGTTAGAAAATATGAAGCAGGATTTCAGCTTGTTTTTCAAAATGTTGATGTGTGATACAAAGTGACATTAGTGATGMTGGGACTTTATTTCTGGTCTTGTTGGACTGCGGGCCATAGACTCCAGTGAGGGTGTACTGGTTCCTTTTTGCCTTTGAGGTCAGCAGAGTGAATCAAATTGATTTTTCACRCTGGATGCAGTCGCTCATAGCCGTGTTTGTCCCAATAACGAATTACCTTTAAACAACCACAGTTGTTTTCTCTGTAAGTTTGATTTTAAACTGCAACATTAGCTTTGGTTAAACCAGTGGCAGATCTAGGATTTTTCTGAGTAATGGGCCATCAAGGGGCCACAATATTCATAGAGGGGCCATGTATTTTGTTCAGCATTTTTGCACACATATCACTGTTTTTGGTATGGCATTATATATTATAAATATTTTACTAGTCACACTTTTAAACACTTGTAATGTAATTTTAAAACAGCTGGCATTAAATTCTTACCAATTTTACATGCATTTTACAGTGCATAGATAAAATACTCTTAAACACATAGCATGTGAGAAAATCCAGCCATCATTTAATGAAAAGAAAAAGAATTCTGTCATCTTGGTTCATGCTGGACGTTTCTGTTTGGCTCATTAGCGCCCCTAGTGTTTAGACATGGAACTGCACCCAACATCATCGCTTTTTGGCAAAGGACAGATGAGTGACAGGACAGGGACACTTCAGGGGG